AGGGGCGGTCCATACGGTACGCTATACATTGATATGGGCATTGGCTGGACGTAACCAATAGGTATTGATGACATGCAGTAATTCGGTTTGGTTTGGCTTGCTTAGTTCTTGACAACGCTGGAGGGGTCAGGGAGGCCATGAGCTGCACCCCTTCGGTCTGATTTGACATATCAAGGGTCAAATCCGTCAATGCCCACTTGAGTCCGTCTTATATGATTTTTTATTTTAAGAGGTGTTCCACATTTTTATGGGTTTTGAACTGAAGAAGCCGTGTTAAATATCATTCAGCACAGTTTACAGCTCTGCCCTTCTTAAGACCTAAGCTCCTCGACTTTCTGAGCTAGTCATCCGCCAGGATGAGCAGACTATTTATTGCAGACTATTTGAAGGTCACCTGGGCGACCATGACGCCATAATGACGTCATTCAAATCCTCCAATCCTATTGTTCATGTAGCGATCAAGGACAAGAAAAGGATATTTGTCGAGTGGTGAGTCGATCTCAAGTTGACAAAATCGCATTTGTCGTTTGTGCGCACGACTTCCAGATATGACGACCGTCAACTGTCAATCAATGTTTTGCAAGGTAAGGTGACCCGATCAAAAAATAAGGTATTGACGAGCAAATTCACTAAATAGAAGAATTGTGTTCTTTAGAGCAGTCCGTTTCGCTTTTATCAACTTATCATTAGTCACAAAAGTTACCAAATTTTTCCAATAGTTACAACTTAGCTTTTTTCATGATAACTTATGCTCGTTTTAAAGTCTTCAAAGTGAAGAATTTTCGTTTAAGGGCTGTTTCATGCCGTTTTCCGTACTGTCGCGGCATACCAAGCAGTTGCGGCAACAGAAGAGTGGACGTGATATGACCTGCCAAAAGTCACATTCGCCATTATTTGGTTACACCTATCTGACATTAAAAGTTCAAAGTTCTTTTGTGGATTTAATGAACTTCGATGTACCAGGAGATGCTGCATAAACAACGTTACATAACTAGCCAATCCTTTTGACGATACACAATATTCCAGTTACGCTTAGCCTAAGGAGTGAAAAGGGCTCAGAACATTTGGCAAAACATTGCACATCAGAAATTAGATGTGAATCTAGAAAAAGCCTTGCAGCCTGTACTGTTGGACTCTTTGTGGACTATCGGGGGATTGTATTATTACCCAAAATATTTTCGGACGTCTTTTAGTGACATTGTCTGCACAAGTTAGCTCATTTTCTGACACTGGAAGTGCAATATTTTGCTGAACGTTTCCGAGCTCTCTCTGCTATTGGGACGAGAGCAGCTCGAGGTATTGAGTACTGTTAATATAATCGTTATTTAACACTAAGGCCTTCGAATACACCATGCCGAAAATGAGGAGCTGAAGGTCTTTCTGTCTTAAATCAAGCGCCCTATCTGACACATTTTGACGTGGGTTTTCCATTGCCGTGTTTCCGGTGGCTCTAGCCTGCTTGGTTTTCGAATCTTGGAGGAGAGGAGGGCTAATAAGACTTCTATCGTGGGGTGACAGCGAACAAAAAACGTCTACAAGGCGAGGATTAACCCGCGCCCTGGCCGGGGGTCAGACACCCGCGTCCACTCTGGAAAATTGTGACCTAGAGACCTAGAGGTCATGTGACGTCAACTTACGTCAAATTTATAAACCGCCCAAGTAAAGATAAATGAAGTGCTGACCGGCTCTATGTGACCAGTACAAAATTATTTTAGGTCAAAAATGTTGTATTATGCATGTACAGGTACTCGAGATTCCACACCTGTTATCTACATCACAAATAGTCCCATAGTTCCACCTCGGTAAGTTAGTACCGTAAATTTTGCGCCATTGGCTTTATAAACACCATAAGAAGGGGTCATGCGCGTCACGCTCGTTCATCTAGCATCTCTGCAACTGACAACATAGGCCATTAACCTAAGATGACCTCATATGACCTTGCATTTCCTCACGTGACCTATTGTGACATATTTGTGCACTGAAATGATACAACAGCATGTTTTTGGTAGAGTATACAAATTCTGCGTCCAAAATCATTCAACAAAACTGCCTATGCTGAGCTCAGCATGTGTTTCGCAGAAGGACCCGTAAAAGCAGTCCATGGGCTGGGCCAAGGCTATGTGCTCGGTGGGCATATGATGATCGCACATGTGAGCTAGTACTGTTTTCTTGACATACAAACACCAAAATTACACAAAAGTACGTAAAAATTTGCGTTATTTACGATAAATAGTAAAACTTGGCTTGGCTTTAGATGACTGACTTTGCCCTTTCCGAAATGTCTCAAATGTACAGACTTAAGAGGGAATCATGTTCTATTACTATAGCAAGTTTTAATGATAATAAATGATCACAAAAAGTTAGCTCTGTGTCGTCGAAGTTTTTAAGGGCTGGCCTCTTTGACCTGGCCTACGTAATCGATCTTGGTAGACACCAAAAGGATGTCAAATTCATAGGTGGACGAGAACCAAAAATTTCGTGTCGCTGCAAACGATCGTTTTATCGTTTATCGTCGCGACCGTTTGGTACATTGGCATTCGACTACAGACAATTTTGGCAAATCGGCATTCAGTAAAAATGGACTTCGACCTATTCGACCCTGCGACCTACTTTCAGCATTTCACCTTGATGATATGGAGGCAAAAGGGGCGTCGGCAAATATCACTCCGTCAAAAGCATTCAACAAAATGTCATTCGGCTAAGTACAGGTTAAATGCCTATCCGGAAATCAATGCAATGTAGTGGATATTTAGGGGACAAACGGACATTGATTGACAGCACGCTTAACACTGCGCAACTAACGAAAGGAGGTTTCACCTAGCGTAACCTGTGCGTAACCAGTAAAGGGGGTTAGAAGCTTGTCCAAAATTTGTGACGTTGTGTATGGACTCAAAACGACACAGGTACAGATGCTGGAAAAAGGGGGCAGAGCGAATGGAGCTACCTACCACGCTACCCTACTCTCACAGTAATGCTGTCCGAAGTCTAATATGGGAAAATGAGCGCAAAAATTCAGATACGCAGTAAGAAATTGTCCCAGTTGCTGGGCCAGTTCGCCCACCAAGAAGACAACCACACCCATTGGTATGCCTCTCGGGCGCCCAAAACTGTCAGTCTCACAGCCGCTACGGCTACCGCACAAGCGGCTGCGTGGTGGCGCCTTTCTCCGCAGTGTGTATTTCTGCACTTGTCACTCAATGTTGCCGAATGGCTCACCAACGGCTTCCAACCGACCGGGCCGAGGTGGGCCCCGCCCTCCCCTCACCACGCACTATCATGCGGTCTGCGACGGAGGTATATAGCCGGCCGGCCGGCGGCACACGGCACACACAGCTGCCGGAGCAACATGAGGCAGATCACGGTAAGCAGGCGGCTAGCAAGTGGAGACACTCGGCATCCCCGGCAGGGCAAGTCACCAAATGTGATTGTTAAAGTTGGGATATGCATTCAGGACAGATGACCGTATGCTTTCACAAACTTTGCCGTAGGAGAACATTCCAGCATGATATTTGCGGTGAGTCATCAGCATCATGTGATAAATCTGGACTTGCCTTTTTTAAAGACAGCTGCACTGATGTATTCATAGTTTTTCATGCGAGCCTAGGCAGCATGACAATCTATGGGGAAAACACAGCTGTCTACCCATATAACTGTATCGTTATCAATCAGGCTGATGCCAGTCGCAGCAGGCATTCGATGAAGTCACGCCAAAATTCCCAATCATACTTCCAAAGCGTTAAAAAAACATTATCAGTTCGCATTTGACAAAACCGCATTTCAGGTATATGTTGCGCTGCTGGTGGCGGCACCCTGCCTGACTGGTGGCAGCTTCAGCAGAGGCGGGGCCGGATCATATCCTTCTCTGTCTAGCGGTAGAGGAAGCAGCTCCTTCGGATACTCAGCTCAGCCCAGCAGAGAAAGCAAAGGATCTACCATATACGGAGCTCCATCCAGCGGAGGAGCTGGAGGTTCCGGCGGATACGGAGCTTCGTCGAGCGGTGGAGGGGGAGGTTCCAGCGGATACGGAGCTTCGTCCAGCAGTGGAAGGGGAAGTTCCAGTGGATACGGAGCTCAGTCCAGCAGCGGAGCTGGAGGTTCTAGTGGATACGGAGCTCCGTCCAGCGGCGGAGCTGGAGGTTCTAGTGGATACGGAGCTTTGTCCAGCGGTGGAGCTGGAGGTTCCAGCGGATACGGAGCTCCGTCCAGCGGCGGAGCTGGAGGTTCCAGCGGATACGGAGCTCTGTCCAGCAGCGGAGCTGAAGGTTCCAGCGGATACGGAGCTCCGTCCAGCAGCGAAGCCGGAGTTTCTAGCGGATACCGAGCTCCGTCCAGCGGCGGAGCTGGAGGTTCTAGCGGATACGGAGCTCCGTCCAGCAGCGGAGCTGAAGGTTCCAGCGGATACGGAGCTCAGTCCAGCAGCGGAGCTGGAGGTTCTAGTGGATACGGAGCTCCGTCCAGCGGCGGAGCTGGAGGTTCTAGTGGATACGGAGCTTTGTCCAGCGGTGGAGCTGGAGGTTCCAGCGGATACGGAGCTCCATCCAGCGGCGGAGCTGGAGGTTCCAGCGGATACGGAGCTCCGTACAGCAGCGGAGCTGAAGGTTCCAGCGGATACGGAGCTCCGTCCAGCAGCGAAGCCGGAGTTTCTAGCGGATACCGAGCTCCGTCCAGCGGCGGAGCTGGAGGTTCTAGTGGATACGGAGCTCCGTCCAGCGGCGGAGCTGGAGTCTCCAGCGGATACGAAGCTCCGTCCAGCAGCGGAGCTGGAGGTTCTAGTGGATACGGAGCTTCGTTCAGCGGCGGAGCTGGAGGTTCCACCGGATACGGAGCTCCGTCCAGCGGCGGAGTCGGAGGTTCTAGTGGATTCGGAGCTCCGTCCAGCGGCGGAGCTGGAGGCGTTAGCGGATACCGAGCTTCGTCAAGCGGCGGAGCTGGAGGCTCCAGCGGATACGGAGCTCCGTCCAGCGGCGGAACTGGAGGTTCTAGCGGATACCGAGCTCCGTCTAGCGGCGGAGCTGGAAGTTCCAGCGGATACGGAGCTCCGTCCAGCAGCGGAGCCGGAGGTTCTAGCGAATACGGAGCTCCGTCCAGCGGCGGAGCTGGAGGCTCCAGGGGAAACGGAGCTCCGTCCAGCGGCGGAGCCGGAGGTTCCAGCGGATATGGACCTCCGTCCAGCAGCGGAGCTGGCGGTTCCAGTGGATACGGAGCTCCATCTAGCGGTGGAGCTGGGGGTTCCAGCGGATACGGAGTTTCGTCTAGCGGTGCAAGTGGAGGTTCCACTGGATTCGGAGCTCCGTCCAGCGGCAGAAGGGGCGGACCCATTGGATCCGGCGGAGGGAGCTATGGGATTCGGCTCTCTAGCGGGAGCGGGGCATTGTCACCGGGATCTTCCGGTGGATACAGTGTCCCGTCCCAGTCATCTTCTGGTGGATACATCGCCCCGTCCCAGTCATCTTCTGGTGGATACATCGCCCCGTCCCAGTCATCTTCTGGTGGATACATCGCCCCGTCCCAGTCATCTTCTGGTGGATACATCGCCCCGTCCCAGTCATCTTCTGGTGGATACATCGCCCCGTCCCAGTCATCTTCTGGTGGATACATCGCCCCGTCCCAGCCATCTTCTGGTGGATACATCGCCCCGTCCCAGTCATCTTCTGGTGGATACATCGCCCCGTCCCAGTCATCTTCTGGTGGATACATCGCCCCGTCCCAGTCATCTTCTGGTGGATACATCGCCCCGTCCCAGTCATCTTCTGGTGGATACATCGCCCCGTCCCAGTCATCTTCTGGTGGATACATCGCCCCGTCCCAGTCATCTTCTGGTGGATACATCGCCCCGTCCCAGTCATCTTCTGGTGGATACATCGCCCCGTCCCAGTCATCTTCTGGTGGATACAGTGCCCCGTCCCAGTCATCTTCTGGTGGATACAGTGCCCCGTCCCAGGCATCTTCTGGTGGATACATCGCCCCGTCCCAGTCATCTTCTGGTGGATACAGTGCCCCGTCCCAGTCATCTTCTGGTGGATACAGTGCCCCGTCGCAACTGTCTTCTGGTGGATACAGTGCCCCGTCCCAGTCATCTTCTGGCGGATACAGTGCCCCGTCTCTATCATCCAATGCCGGTAGTTCTCAAATGCTTTCTCCAGTGTCTTACCAGGTTCAGCAGAAGACTTCAGACGGACATACAGTGCCCCTGTTGAGCTTCCAGGTGGCCGCCGTGTCCCACCTTCGTAAATAGGGCTCGGTAACTTGAGCCCAGACAAAAGAGGGCGCTCTAGGTTCAGGCGATATGCAACGTCGCACCGGTGCAGTGCTCATACATAAAACTTCTGAAAAGACCTTAATGATTATTTTACCAATGTTGACTTGCCTAAAGTCTTTCACATTTGCGTTGCGTAACCATAGTTTTTTTTCGTAGCACATGGCAATGAAGAACAGGTGAAGTAGTTGATGGGTTCACAGACGAGAATCACATATGCCATTTGGAACCTCGACACGCTAAACCTGGTTCCCATGTGTCTGCGTGTGGCGTCTGTGTCCATCGGCAGCCATTGACGGCCTCGCCTTTGGTGATATCAGCGACGTCGATTGGTCAACCTTTCAAGACGACTAAACCATATTTGGGAAGAAAGCATTCCGTGGCTGGCGATTGGTCGGGCGCCTGGGCGGTGACGGCTGATGAGAACGCAGACGGACGAGCACTGGAGAGCGTTTGGTCGAGAGGCAACAGTTGGTTGATGCCGCCATCTCTTGTCTGCCTTGTCCGGTAGTAAAGTTCTTGCTGCTGTAAGTGTGCTGTGATATATTACATGTCACAACGTGTATTCCTTGTAAATGACATCGTATGAACTAAGTACGTATTTGGAGCTCAACACCACAGCGTTGTACAATATACTTGGAGTTGCGAAAGCAGTTCTTTTGCTACCATGCGTCGATTTTTCTGAAAATAAGACAGACCTTTCTTTCCTGGTTCGTCAGCATTTTGAGCAGAAATATTTATGTTAAGTTACCGCCGTTCAGTACTCACCAATAGCGTCTGTTTTTGCAACGGAATAATTGTGAATAGCGATTATAATGACGGTATTCATAGCCCCATATGTGCTCGTCCTCTCTTGAAGATGAATACCTCAGGGATACCAAGTACTTCGACGTGACTACGAGGTACACACCGAGCATTCGGTGTCTCTTGCGTGATGATAAGGTGCACTTCTGTATGTGTTTAATGATACATAAACAATGCACAGACTCGCTTATTTACTTCATAGGTATTTAGCTTCGACGTGTGTCTAGTAGAGGTTGAACTTAGGCTTTTACTTTCGTCACACGGCCAGCATTTTGAGCCACATACCTCGAAGACTGGTATGCAGCTATGTGGTACGAACAGCTGAGGCTGTAGCACATGGACCAGCATCTTGTAAATCTGTTGTCAGACTGATACTGAATGGCATCTATGGAAAGTATGAAATATGCCGGATTAATTTGTGTGTGGCGAAAAATCAAACCGAAACTAAAAATAAACAAATCGATTTCATTCAGGGAAGGGGTTTCGCTGAGCGTAACCAGTGCGTATTCAAAGGGAGCAACTGTTGAAAAAATTTAAAATGTGTGATGTGGTTGTGGACGACTCTCTCCCAAACATATGCTGTTGCAGATGTTGGAAGTGTACGGGATATCGCAAGAGGCTCATGCCATCCACTTCCAGAATGATGTTGCCCCAAGTCTACCGCGGTCAGCCGAATGAAACGATTAAGATACCCATTAGTAAATTCTTTAGAAATGCTAGAGTGGTTAGCTCACTAATATGAAAGCCACACCCATGAGGTTGAGATAAAGTCTTATTGACGCCCAAAATTGGTTATCCTACAGCGAAGGCAGCCGCAAATTTCGCCGCCCGCCAGCCGGTAACCTCCAATCGCAACGGCATCGCTGGCGTAGTTTTTCATTGCGTAGTTATCTCGGCATTCAGTTACGCGAGGACGTGTGGAGCCGTGGGATGATGCTGGAATCGTAACGAGTCGGCCGTGGGTTCGATTCCCCTGGCAGCGATGAGCCTTCGTGTGGCCCTTTACGCTTACATCGGCTCTTCTGAAGATTTCATAGGCATGTCAATAAATTCGTAATGTTCATGCTATGTTCAGTTCAGACGTTATCAATTTCATCATACGGTCATCTGGTGGTCACAATAGCAACACGCACGAACATTAGGCCGCCCCGTCACTATTATGGATAAATACATGGACATACGCTCCATGTATTTAGCCGGGTCCGCAGCTATGTCGGTACCTACGGGTTGTCCGGCTGTGATGTGAACCACGTCGCCTGGAAAAACCTCCCTTGAAGCAAAACTAATCGGATTTCAGCCACTTTGTTTCGGGTGGTTTGGTGTTTTTCGCTTTAATTGTATATGTCGCAATGTTTTACTGGAACAGAAAACAGAATTGCACCGTTCTTTATAAGATAGCACATGTGACGCTTCCGTAGCGATACAAGTCAGCGGCATTGCGATCTCCACCCAACCCTTTAATTGTTGGCACGTGGCCGCTGCCCCCCCCCCCCCCCCCTCTCCCCTCCCTTCAACACTGATTGAGTCCGAATTTTGAGCTGTGAATGAGAACTTATGACGATTGTTCACATTGAGGCAATGGAAGCGTGCTGTGCAAGTTAGGGCCCCCAGTAATGAATGGTACGCCCTCCGACCCAATTTCAGCATGGGTCTGTTAAGCTGGACTGGGATTTATGTGCCATTTATTGGACCATCTCAGTTCATCTGAGCGCGCCGCCACGCGCGGACGCTAGCGCTGCTTGCTCCTCCCTGGGCCTTACGCTCCTGTCGGAAGTCATTGATAACCCGCTTGCGTACCCCCCATCTTTTGGGGCCCTCCGCACTGGGTCGAGCCTGGGGGGTTAGAAAGGCCGGACGGAGGTCGTATTCTGTGTGTAGCGATTTTGAACTCTAAAAGGGGTGAAGGGTCCGTATCTACCTGGATTTCAGCCTAATTTATTTTTGGTATCTCGCAGACGTTCAGTATATCTTAAACCAATAGGGCGCAACGATTCTCAGACATAGATGATATCCATCCCCTGTTTTCCGCGAAGTTTAGACTTAGTTTTGTGAGCCCCGTTGTTTTTCGTGCGAGCCCCTTGAAACCCAGACTTGCATAAATGACGCTTACTGACCCTTCGGCACTTAGACTTCGGGATAATTTTGACCTCAGACCTTTTGAGGTTCGTCTTCTCCCAAGCTATGTGTACGCGCACTTTTGATTTTCTAATGATATGTCGATTCTCAAAAGCAAGTGCTCATCTAGGTAAGATAGTGTTAAAAATCCGTCGGTGGACAGGGTGTGTTTCCGTTTCCTACCACCCATCCCCCCACGTGCTCTAGATGTTTTGACCTTTTCCAATATTGAACCTAACGGTCGTAGCGAATATCCATCGCCCAACAGCGAAGTCCATATTTTGTTTACGCTCCTTCTTTTTCACCGTTTGATAAGTTGTTTAGGGCCCTATGCAGCAGGATACGAATGACATATTGCTTAGTGGACGTCGGATGCGCAGATTCGCAGCGCAGAATTATATCAGAGTAGGTGGGTTTGATAACAGCCCCGTTTCTAATGTTGTGCGGCTGTTCCTCCTCTCTACCGTCACCAGTGTATCCAATTGCGGCCTGCTTGGTGTGTGCTCCATCGTGACGGCTGAACTGGGTTAATAAATTGACTCAACACTATCTTACATGGGTGAACCTTTGTTCTGGAAACTTAACTATATCGTTAGAAAATCAAAACTGCGCATACACATAGCTTTGAGCAACGACAAGAAGCTAAAAAACTCTCTAGTTAAATATCTCATCTTGAAGCCTGAGTGCCCGGGGTGCAAAAAGTGTCATGTATGCATGCCTGGGCTTCAGGGGCTTGCACGCAAAAAAGGTGGTTTACGAAATCAAGTGCAAACTGTGCGAAAAACGTGGTAGGTACCTAGTCCGTGTCGGGGAGTCCATGCGCCCTATACGTTTCAGTTTAATGAACGCCTGCAGTACGTTAAAAACGAAACAGAGAATAAAAACGACGGATACTGGCCGTTTACCACATTTAGCGTCATATCCCGGCAAACTTGTCACCCAGAGCCGTGATGTATAATTACAAAAAATGGACAAGGGAAATTTATGCGTTTTTCACCGGCGCAGCGAAGCAAGCATGG